CCGACGCTCCAAGGAGGGTGTGTGCACACTGTGCTAGTGAAAGAGCAGAGGGCCTCTGTGGCTGCAGCCAGGTGAGTGAGAGGGAGGAGTGTGAGGTGAGAATGGGAGGGAGGCATAGAGGGGGATATAAGATTTGTATAAGAGAAGGAACCGATTTCCTCTCTCTGGGATAATAGGGAAGCCTCGATGGGCCAAGGTGGTGGGTAATCGCCACCTGGAAGGATAAACAGGAGTCCCCAGTGCGGGGTGCAAGTGGCATATCCAGACCCTGCCGGTAATGTCGTGTAGCCGAAACGCTGTGTCCTCGTGGAGAAAGAGGAGATGAGCTGGGAAAGGAGGGAAGGACCGGACCAGGAGGGACCCTGAAGGCCTCCGACATGGCTTTTATCAAGGAAGCCAAAAGTCCCCATTTTGTCAGATTAATTGGTCACTTCTCAGATCGTGTCACACTCAACCCATCAGCAGATTTTACCAAGTTACTCTTATTTGTAACACTTTATTTCTTGATTTTGTGGACACCTTGCTCCCTTGATTTCTCTCCATCTTCTCTGCTAGCTCCTCCTGCTATTTTTCTTGTAACAATTACTACGTCCTAGGCTTGCTTCTCTTATCACAGTGTTTCTAATATATGTGACAAGATACTCATATGTGACTGGACTGGCATGGTTTATTTGGCTGGGCGTCATCTTGCAGAGTGGATAGGTCGCAGGTTCAATTCCCAGTCAGGGCACAAGCCTGGGTTGTGGCCCAGTCCCCAGTTGGGGTACATGTGAGAGGCAACTGATCGATGTTTCTCTCTCACATTAGTGTTTCTCTCCCTTTGCTTCTCCCTTCCTCTCTCTCTAAAAATAAATAAATAAAATCTCTTTTTAAAAAGATGCTCACATGTAACACGTGCTGAGTGTCTTCACATCCTGCCTTGAGGTGCTAGATCACTAACAATAGATGCTGAGAGACTGTAAGACCTTTCTGCCAGGATTAGCCCATCACCTGCCTCATGGTTGTAATAAATTGGGGTGGAGGATGTTGAGAGGTTGGGAAGAGATGTTAATGTGTTGTGATATTTTCCATCTGGTCTCAAGTAAAACGAAGTCAGTTTCGAGAGAACTCCATGGAGAGCTTACCATTTGTGCCCTCGAGTCTGAGGCCACAGAATGGAGTGTTATATTTACCAAAAGAAGTTTAAAGGCCCAAGAAAGAGGCCAGAATGTCTTGTCTGGAAGCAGAGCGGAGAGAGCTGTGTAGGAGAAGGGCTGTCCTACCCGAGCAAGACACCTTTGCCTGAACCTGGCATGGATAATGGGGAGAGCTCCTGGAGTCGTATGAAGGGCGCCTGCCCAGTGGAACTCCTAGGGGTCCGCATGACCCACCACGGGGTGCCTCGCCAAAGCCCAGGCTGAGGGAGAGGATGCCCCGCTGGAGGAGGGAAGGGCACAGGAGTCTCCAGTGGAGGGATCTTCTCAGAACCCACCAAAGTGCACCAGGGAGGGAGGGCCAGCCCTTGTGCACCTGCCATTCCCGGGCACCAGCTGCAGACAGCAATGGCACCACCCTCCGAAGACTACAGTCTTGCTCCCTCATTTGTCAACCCCGGGTCTAACCTGGGAGGGTCTGAGACTAAGGAATAAGAGAGGAGAAGGAGCTAGAGCATAGCGAGAAAGACAACCTCCACCCCTGCTGCCTAGTGTCACATGCTGACTTCCCGCACTCCTGCAGGCCTGGGACAGTGCAGGCTCTAAGCTGGATACAAGTTTGAGAGTTTGGGTTTTCAAACCAGGCTGGGCTGGAATTATTTGATTAGCAGACAGAACTGGACTCTTTATACCAAAACAAAGAGGCTCTCTATTGTCTGAGAATGAGTGGAAAAGCTGTAAGACTTGCCTGAAATTTCATCTGGGGTGGAAAAAATAACTTATGGATGAAGTTTAAAGGGATAGTGAAGCAAGTGGGCTTATCAATAAACTAGTTACACAGGCATCAGTGCAGCAGGACCGAAAGCTTGTCTCTGAGCAGCAAGACAGATACGGGCAAAGACAGAAATCCTTGAGCCAGGGAGGCCCTGTGGCCCAGGCAATGTGTCCATGACCTGAGGACAGGCGGATCTGGAAAGGGAATGGGCCACCATAGTCTGTAACTTGCAGGCTGAGGGTAGTTGGGAAAGGTTTCCTTGGAACAGCTGGGGGCAACATAAGAGTCCCTTTCCCTGTTAAGGGAGCTGTCAGGAGCAGGGTGTGGAGGCTGCTCAGAGGTGGATGAGGACTCCTGGGAAGTCTGTCAGGTGAAGGTAGGAGGGTAGGATTTCTCTCCTGCAGGCCTGAATGCTGAACCTGAGGCCATGGGCAGTTTTCTTTGAGGGAAAGCCCTTAGCTGCCAAGGTGCCAAACCAAGCTCTTCTGGACACCCTGACCTGAGGTGAGGGGCTTCCCCTGGGGACAGCAGGAGCCTTGGCTCCGTGCTAGCTGGAGGCACAAAAGGAGAGGTCTGATGTTGCATCCAGGAGTTGGATGAAGATGGCAGCAGGATTAACCAAGTCCAGGAAGAGGAAAGGACGTCTGAGTACTTCTTGTGCATCTTAGCTGGGATCTCTCCTATCGGAAGTCGACGTCAGCTCCCCCTTGAAGACTTAGATTTCTTGGGCTCAGCTCCGAGGGGCATTTGAGGAGCCATGATATGAAGATTGCATTAAAACAAGATGCGTTTTCCTGGTGCCCGTGTGCTGTGTGTGGAAAACAGAAGTGTCTGTGGCACCAGCCCCTCCAGCCTTGACGATGGTGTGCCGGGGAATTCTATGGTGAGCCCTCTGTGGGAATGGCAGAAGAAACTCCAGGCCTGTCTGTCCCCTATGGATGGAACACCTGCTGTGTCATTTGGAAAGGTTGGCACATCCAGGGTCTTTCAGAGCCAGCCTTCCGTGAACCAGGCCTCCCACCTGGCTGCTCTATGCAGAGGTCATTCTGGGTGTAGCTGCCATTCCTGGTGCCAGGCTGGGACTCAGGAGCCACATGTGTTGCTTCTTCAGTAGGGCTGCTAGGGCGGGAGGGGGCTCCCTGGAGAGAATGGCAATTTAGGGGTGGAAGAGACCTTAGAGGAGGGGGATTAGCCTGACCTCCTTGATGCCTGGGTTTTCTCTGTGCCATGTTCCCCATCCTGCCTCCACCCCCATTGTCTGAACACCTCCTAGGCAGTCCGTGCCATCTCTGGACTGTGAAAGTCACTCCTGACTTTGAGCTGGATTTGACTTCTTGGCCCTGGTTCTGTTTTCTGGGTTGCATAGGGCTGGTCGGCTGGCTATCTTGCCACTATGTTCTCCTTGAGTTTTCTCTCCAGAATGATTATCTCCATCACCTTTGGCCCCATTTGACACAGCCCCTTCACTGTTCTCTCCTTAGTTCCTCAGACAGTGCATCCCTCTGACATTGAACTCCAGTCCTGGGGCTCGGGTCCACCTGGTTCTAACCACTTGTGCAAGACTCTGCCTAACCCGTAGAGAACCTTCCGTTGACACATGGACCATCCCTGTGCCTTCTGCTCTAGCCCCAGCTTTAGTAGTGGCTGTATGTGCCTCGGGCAAGTCCTGGGCTGAGGGTAGGCATTCCACTCACTGCTTTATCCTCCGCAGCTTCTCCTGTCCTCCTGGAAGACACATCACTGTTCCATCACCATTGAGAAAATCGCTGCCAATTCAATTATGACTGACAGTGTTTAATTCTCACACCGTGTGTATCTCATCCTTTCTGTGAAAAAATATGTCATAGAATAGATGAAATATGATAATACAAACTGTCTCATGATGTGAGTGAGAACTAATGAGATAATGCATGTCAAGTGCTTAGCACGATGTGAACCACTGTAAACACTCAATAAATGACACCTGCTTTTATTCAAATCCTCCCACAGCTCACCACACAGACCCTGCCCACCTCCGCAGCCCTGGGTCCCACAACTTCCTCAGGGGCTCCTGTCCTGAGCTGTCACTGCCATTGGAAAGCCTTCCCTGCCCGCCCCACCTTCCACGCAGCCCGCCACCTTCCACAAGGTTTCCTGCAGCAAATACTCCTTGTACTGTTTGCTTACTCATTGGCCACCTCCCCTAAAATGTGGATCTTTGAGAACAGGGACTGCTGTTTAGTTCTGTGTCTCCAGTACACAGCACAGTGTTGGAACATGAGAGAGGCTCAAGAAATGTTTGCTGAGTAAGTGATACTTTTCTCAGGTGTAATAATACCTGAATTTGCATAGTGCTTTGTCATTTAACAGGTTTTTTAAAAAAAGTTTCCTCATTCCATTAACCTGAGCAGGTCAGGATGGGTGGCAATGTCCTTATGACTAACTGCAGCTGGAAAAGCTGGGCACCTGTTAAGGGATGCACCTGAGTGCACAAAGGCTGGTTAGTGACTAAACTGGCAGCAGAGCCTGGCCCCGGCAGGTGATAGGCCCTTGGCTTAGAGCAGAGGGGGCAAACTGGCAGCCTGCTGGGAACATGTGGCCTGTGGATGTGCTCTGGCCTATGGAATTTTTTTTTTTTTTTTTTTAGAAAACCCAAATAAGTTGCCAACACTTAAAAAATTAAGAGATTTCACAAAGAAATTCCAATTACAAACCTCTGTTAACCCTAAGCTTACATGCACATGTGGACAACAGCCAGCAGGGGTTGAGAGGCAAGATGTGCGCTCTACCCCTGAGTATCCCCCCTTCTCATCATGTGATACCCACATAGCTGGCCCCAGTAGGTATTGAGTTTGCAATCTCTGCTTAGAGAAATGATCCTGCCAGTGAGGATTTAGAGGCTCATAGTTATGTCTATGGCACTTAGTTTGGTGCTTGGTACGTCTTCAGTGCCACCCCCTACTGGTGGAGCAGGCTCCGTGGGCCTCTAGAGACCACTGCCTCAGTTGTTAGTAGCGCCAGGCTCAGGCAGGGACTTGGGGCCTGCTCCTTGCCTTGGCCTTTGTCCTCAGCCTGGAGGCAGAGGGGTGAAGCAGCTTCTCTCTCCTCTCCAGGACAAAGGGGATGTTGGAGTCAAGGAACTGGACAGCTTGAAGAGTGATAGACTGAGAACCGTTCAGCTCAATGTCTGCAAAAGTGAGGAGGTGGAGAAAGTGGTGGAGATTGTCTGCTCGAGCCTGGAGGACCCTGAGAAAGGTAGGGGCCACCTTGGGGCAGCAGGGTACTGCACAGGAGTCCTTTCTAAACACCATCCTCTGTTTGCTGGTACCGTGCCAAAAGACTGATTTCTTTACTGTTCAAACTCCAGCACAGAAGGAAGAAGTAGATTGAAAGAAACACACTTTGCAATCAGGTAATATGAAATAAAGCCACAGGTGATTTCAGAATCTACAAGAGTGATGAATGGGTGTGCTCTGGTTCAGGTCAGTTCAGCCAATGCCCACAGAATGCTCACTCAGAGCCAGGCGGTGGGCCCAAGTGTTGGGAACACAAAGATGGCCAAGACACAGTCCCTGACCTTGAGGACCTTACAGTTCATTGGGGGACTAAACCAGGTGATTTCCAGGTCCCTTCTTGGGGAGCAGCACAGGACAGAGGGACTTAACCCTGCCTTGGGGTGAGGCGGGAAAGGGGTCAGTTAGGGCAGACTGTAGCAGTGCACTGGGAAGGGCATTCCAGGAGGAGGGGAGAGCGTGAATAATGGTGGGAAGCACAAGGCGTGCGGGGACTACAAGTCAGGGGCCAAGTCTGGTGAAGGTGGTCGCAGCAAATAAGGTTGGAAGGGAGCTTGTCCATGGCCTGGTGTGCCAGGCGAGGGAGGTGGCCACTTTCTTGAGGATAGTGGGAGCCACTGAAGGGGATTTCCTGAAGGGAATGACCTGGTCAGACTTGTGAAAGCTTGCTCTGGGGACTGTGGTGACAGTGCGGTGTGGATTTAAAGGGACAACATAGGTTTAAGAGTCCTGGACTAGGGCAGTGAGTACGAGGAAAGAGGAGGATCAGATTCAAGTATCGAGAAGACATAGCTGGCTGGACTTGGTGACTTACGCATATGAAGGTGAGGGAGAGAAAAGAGGGCTCCACCCTGGATACCTAGTACCCCTGCATGGAGGGTTGAGGGGTGTGGAGATGCTAAAGTGCCCAAGGGACATCCTGGGGGAGTATCTGGGCTGGAGATCAGGTGTCCAAGGTTAGAGGTGAGATTAGGAATGGGGGAGATGCAAGGAGGCTCTACTGGGGAACATGAGCAATTAGGTACCAGGGAAGGGAAAGAGACAACTGTGAGAGAGGTTGGGCACAGTGCCCTAGAAGCCAAAGGGGCAGAAAGTTTGGGGGACAGTAGCCAACAGGGGAACATGCTGCAGAAAGTTTCCATAACATGATGACTGAAGTGTCCTCCCCATTCAGGCTTTGGAGGATCATGGTGGGTGGGGCTCTGTTGTACAGCAGAGGGGAGGGGACACCATTCATAGATGACACAGCGGTGATGGTGCTGCCTGGGGAAGCCAGTTTGGTCTGCTGACTTCACCTGTGATATTTTCCTTTGAGCTTCCTGACAGCCCAGGCGGAAAGGGCCTGCCTCCTTCAGCTCTCTGCTTTCCCCCAGAATGGGGTGGGGACAGCTCTCCTGAGCAGAGACTTCAGTTGCTGGTAGCGAGGAGGGAAAGGGGTGGGGTGACCAGGGCCTGTTCTGGGCACTCTGCTGGGCACTATCAGTTAGGTGAACATGCTGTCATCTCCAGCACCCACCTTAGCAGCTAGCAGCTCCTGTGCGGGGCGGATATCAGAGAAGCTGTTGCTCTTGTCGCCAGCCTGTCACCGATGTGTCACCTTGTCAGCCCAGTGCCATCACCACCCCACAGCAGGCCATTCCCAGGCCTCTCTGCTCTCTAAGGACTTCCGGAACATCTGTTCAGTAATTACCAGGCAGCCCAGGGTTCCTATCCCATTAAGAAAGACTGGATGGATTCCATTGGGATGATTACCAGTTCAGACGGTGCAGCCTGCTTCACCCCGTCTCCAGTGGTAAATCCCTCTCCTCTCCGCCTTCCCCCGCAGCTGGGATGCTGCCTTCATAAACTACTAGGCAGGGAAACAGCTGCAGTCAGCACCGTAGAGCCACTTCATTATGGCCTGTGGATTAGTGGGGGTTTAAAATGCCCATGTAAAGGAATCATCACTGTAGAACTGATAGCATGGAGCTGCACCAGGTCTTGGGGCTGCTCACAGCCCTGGTCCTTGTCCCCCGCTGCCAAGACAGAACCACGTCCATTCCCTGTGTTGGCCTGAGCAGGTAGCCTAGCCAGCAAGGGCAGGGTGAATCCGAAGCCATGAGGGTGAGGCGCTCAAACCCCTGCCCTTGGATGGTGCTCACACCCCAGTACCACCCCTGATGCCTAAACCCTTTCCTGATGCTTCTTCCTCATGACCCATTCCAGCGAAGGTTAATAAACCACTCAACATGAACTTACTTAATCAAGACTGCATTTTCGGGGGAAGGATGTGAACATCTTTAGGTCTGAAAAGAAATATGTTAGCTGTATGTTTGTACAGGTCTCCCCTTTTCCTCTCCCCTCCTCCCTCCCTCCCAGCAGCCAGCCCTTGCCCTCCATCCATTGGCTGTCTTTCTGGCACGTAAGGCCGCTCTAACTCTCCCCTTCTCTGGCAGTGCTACCTCTGAACTCCAGGTGGCGCCCTCCCACGGTTTTCAGGTCATCTAGTGGTTCCTAAAGGGGTGGCTGCTTCTGATTCAGCCTCTGCCCAGGCAAGAAGCTCACAGGACACAAGTGGAGGGCACATTAGGACAAGGGCAAGTTTGGTGCCCTTCACCCTGGCTCTATGGAACAGTTGCTACCAAAACCAGGAGAGCCAGCCTTGGGGGTGAGATGAAGGGGATTGTCTAATAGAGCCGTGAGCCAGCTTCCACCAGCCCCTTTGCTCGCCACCAGGACTCTGAGGGACTGGACATCTGGAGCCTGTGACTCCCACTACAGGGAAAGGCTGAGTGATTGGGCCTACTGGCAGGCGGTGGACATGATCTGACCTTGAAACCACTCACTTCATAGTCAGTAAACATTTATTGAGTACTTGCTGAGCACCGAAAGGGGTCTGACCTGGCAGGAGGAGTTTGCAGTTGGACACCAACCAAGTGGATGCTGGTGGTTCATGAAGTGTCACTCGCACTCCCCACCAAGAGCTAAAGCCTCCGCTCTTAGATTTCACTGGTGACCTTGCACTGACTCAGCCACTACAGCTCCACACAGCTGCAGCCCCTGTAGAACCTGTGAGGAACTGTGGTAGCACAGGGAATTTTATGCCATGGGCAGAAAAGACCATATAGTCTGGGATACCCTTGGTCTGGGAGTGAGAAGGCTGGCTTTTCTCTGAGCTTCACCTCTCACTAGAAGTGTGACCTTAGGATTGTGTATTCACCTGTGTGGGCCTCAGCTTGCCCATCTGCGAAGTGGGAAACGTGCTTTGTGGGCCATCCAGTGCTCATACATAGATCTGTCTGCTGCTCTCAAGCTGAGGGGTAGGGGAGCTGTGCAGAGCCAGGAAGCAGCAGAGGCAGGAGGAGCCGTGATGTCAGAGGAGCGGCAAGCCGTTGGGACTTCAAGAAGGCGGAGCACTTGAAAGGGAGTGGGTAAGAGAAGCCTGGAAAGACTTCACGTACTCCACTATGGATGGGAAGCATCGGAGCAGGAAGTGACTGACAGAGGAGACTTTGGTTGAAGGGGTTGGATTGGGATGGGGGTGGAGAAGAGATTAAGACAGGGAGACCTGGGACAAGCTTCTCCCGTAACACAGGAGGGAGGTATACCAAAGATCCAAACTATGCCATGGAAACAGGAAAGAAGACATTGATTTTAGTGACACCTCAAAGGAAGCCAACAACAGCAAAGGGTTAGGCATGAGGGCTGTGTCCTCACACAGACCTGGGTCCAAATTCTGTCCTGTCTACTTGTTATCTGGGTGACACTGAGCAAGGCACTGCACTTCCCTGAGCCTCAGTTGCCTCATTCAGACATTGGACGATGCAACATCTACTTTATCGGTTGGTTGTGAGGATCAGGTGAATTAATAGATGCAAAATGTTTAGTTCAGAGCCCAGCCGCTGTCCTTTTGATCTTTATCAGTAATTAACAGTGCTCATTAGATGGGAGGAGAAATGAAGGAGCTGGGGGAGTCAAAAATGAAAGCGAAACTATTAACAAGGAGGAGGAGCAGGGTTGGGCAGCTAGGAACTTGATATACTGGTATTGTTGAGTTGGGGACCTGTGGGACATTCAGGTGAAAGTGACTGTCAGGAGGAGGAGACTGGAGTTAGGGGAGAGCCATGACTGCCGAGGGGTACAGGGGGCCCCTCCTGCAGAGGAGAGATGGGGCTACTGCAAGAACACAGCTGTCACCCAGACCAACAGGGATGTCATGAGTTCACTCAGAATGTTGGCTGAGGACTCGGGTGAGCTCCTGGGCCCTCAACACTGTTGCTACTGATCAAGTCTGCAGAGCTGTCATCCAGGAGCAGTGTTGCTTTCACAGGTCAAGTTCAATTAAACTTTTTTGGATGTCAATGTCCACCGCAACTAATGTTAGATGGAAAAAAGATTATTTAATTTAGGTTGTGCTGTACTGTCCCATACAAATCAAACACAAAGCAGCTGGAAAATTCCATGAACATAAAGAAGATGAGGTCGCCTCAGCACTGAGTGTAATTTCAGAGGAGGTGGTCTGGGACAGGACATTGGGGGCACACCTGTACCTTGGCGGGGCAGGCAGAGGAAAGGTGGCAGAGAGGATGGAGGAGACATTTGAGTTTTATTAATGCCAAGGGAGGGGTGAGTGTCAAGAACCAGAATAGTGCTCATAGTGTGAAGTTGAGGGTGAAGCGGGGGTGGGGGGGAGAGGGAGGAGGAGGCGGGCGGGTGGCGTCACTAGCGTATGGCACCCTGGACCCCTGGAACAGTGGTAGGGCTGGGGCCCAGCGTGCCGGGAAATGGGAGGCTGGAGAGCCAGCTTGTGTTCTCAGAGGCCTGGCTGCTGAGGGACAGGGAGCAGATGCCTGAGGGAGTTGCATGGTTAAGAGGTTCTTTAACATATTGGAGACATGGTATTTGTATTCACCTGACAGACACTTACTAAGCACCTAATGTGTACAATGTTGAAGTGAAGGAGATGGGGCCATGGAAGAAGAGTTGAAGTTGTGAAAAGGAGAGAGGACTGATGGCTTACCGTTAGGAAGGTGGAGGGTAAAGTGTCAGCCTTGCCAACTGGTGAGAGAGGCCTCCTAGAAGCGGATGGGAGGACCGACCAGCCGGGAATTCTGCAGGGCTGGGGGAGGGAGGGGCTGGGTCAGTGCAAGGTCACCAGTGAGATCTAAGAGCAGAGGCTTTAGCTCTTGGTGGGGAGTGCGAGTGACACTTCATGAGCACTTTATTAACCGGCAATTTCCTTTCCCTAATAAATGTCCTTAATTTTCCGTAATTGAGGGAGAAAGCACGAGAGGTCAGTTGACATAGCTTTAATTTGGGCAACACTGAAGGGAAGCAGCTTGAGACCAATTATTCCGTCATTTACACAAAGTCCATGATTAACTCAGAACGCAGGCCTGCCAGAGTCCCCACAGGCAGGGGCAGGGGCGCAGCCCCCGGGAGGGCAGCCCTGGCCTGAGGCTGCTGCTCCTTGGGAAGGACAGGGGCTTTCATGGGCACTGGAGACTGAACCCTGAGGGTCTCCACAACAAAGAGGCAGGGTCCTGTTCTGTCCTGAGGCTCTGGCCCATCCAGTCCTTGCACCCCCAAAAAACAGAACTCAAAGGGGCCCTGCAAAACATGGCTGCCTCTTCACAGCCACTTGCCCCAACTAGGCTCTGCCTGTAAATACTGGGCAAACTGAAGCCAGTCCTTTCCCTTCAGGGCCTCTGTTCCCCTAGTTATAAGATTAATTATCAGATTAACTGACCTCCAAGGAGCCTTCTAGCACCAGTGTTCTATGTCTATAAAAGCCAGCTATCCCTTTGCGAGTCTTCGTGCAAACAGTCACCCCAGGTATATTCAGAGAGTATACATTTGCTCCAACCCTGTGCTCAGCCCCATCAGACCACACAAGTCTGAGGGGTGTTCCGCACCTGCAAAGACCAGGTGAATACAGATGAGGTATTGATGAACACGTTACCTGATCACAGGGGCTTACCGTGTGATAACCAGCAATAGTGCATGGTTCAGAGGAGGGAGATCAGAGCGTAGAGTCATTGTGAGGTGGGTCTCAAGGTGAAGCAGGACTGAGTACACAACCTGAGATCAAGGCTTGGCTGGGCCTCTTACTTGCCATGTGACTTTGTATGTTGGGGCAGCTCTCTGGTCTGCCAGGGGAGCTTGGCCTGGAAGGCTCCTGAGGCTCCCCTGGCCTCTGGCAAGAGGGAGAATGCCAGTGAAGGTTCAGAGGCAGGGATGATACACGGGTGCCTGGGTGGAGAGTGTGAGGATGAGACTGGCTGGAATAGAGTGGAAGTATGTGAGGTGACATGGGCCTCCAGGCTGGGGGCACCAGCCAGGCTTGGTCATGATGGACCCAGAAGTGCGATTAAGACAGAAAAAAAAGATAAGGATTGCACTTTCCAGACTTAAGGGAGGGTTACAGCCAGCACTATCTATCTCCTGTTTTCTTTGGTCATTGTAAAAAGTATCTCCAAAGCCTTGGGAACAAAGCTGGCAAGTCATGGGGGAAAAGGATGAAAGTGGGGAGGGGAATAGGGTGACCTAGCCCACGGAGTGACCTCAGTTCTGCACCCTCCCATCCAGGCATGTGGGGCCTGGTTAACAACGCAGGCATCTCATCGTTCGGGGAGGTGGAGTTCACCAGCATGGAGACCTACAAGGAAGTGGCGGAAGTGAACCTCTGGGGCACAGTGCGGGTGACGAAATCCTTTCTCCCCCTCATCCGAAGGGCCAAAGGTGAGTTGGAAAGGGACCTCCCTTGTGCTCCCTGGACCTGCCCCACCCTTTCATCTTTGCTCAGAATGAGAGTAGGTCTCAGCAGATCCAACATCCACAGCCCAGTGAGGCTGAGCACATGACTCCCAGGGGCTGGTGGGACCTGTGGGTGGTGGTGAGCAGAGGTGCTGTGGCCCAGGAGGCGGAAAGGGATGTATGGTCTTCAGAAGGTAGAGCAGGTGAGACATCAGCAGTCCATGCAGCAAAGGCTAAAAGATTACAGTGGTAATCCCACTCTGGGAACCTAATCTAGAGCAATAACCACCCTTGTGTGCAGAGCTTTGTATATATCAGTTTCAGTAAGGTATGGTTAAGTTAATATTGGTATATCCATTCTATGTGTTACTATGCTGTACTAAAAAAAAAAGAAGAAGACGAAGAGACAATTGTGCTAGTAAGTAAAAAAAAATAATAAGATTAGAAATTTGGAAAACACCAAATGCCCAAACCATATTGGGTAGCCAAATGTAAGCAAACCACCTAAGAAGTCACCAACTCAGATGTTCTCCCTAGAACAGCAAATAGCTATGGCAAGGAGGGGAGATCCTTATAATCTATCCCAAGGTCTCAGGAATGACAGGATGAACCCACAGAGTGCCATAAGATTTTAGAACTCTTCACTGACTTTCAACTTAGAGGTTTCTGAAAGGAGCCTTCCACAGGGCCGAGGACAGGGCTGTGCATTTACTTCCTGGGTGCACACCCAGGCAGGGTAAGCAGGTCCCAGGTCTGCCTGGGCTGTCTGTCTGGATGGGCTCCGCTGTCACCTCCCCCCCGCCACTCCCAGGCCTGGGAGATGCTGTGGTCAGCTCCTAGCACACCCAGGCTGGGCCTGTGGGAGAGTTCCTTGAAGTCATCACTCTTTCCCAACGCTTGAGACTCTGCTCACATGTCCTAGCCCTGAAGTCAGATTCAGAACCCTGCCCCTGCCCTTGCCCCTCACTGCTTGCCAGGAGAGCTCTGCCAGGTGATAACATTTTGGGAGGAAGATGCAATGGGAGAATGTGGGAGGTGAGACACAGCTTAGTTGTGTGTTGTGCATTATACTGTGCCCTCCTGGTGTTCAGGCCTGCTTCTCACTCATTTCTCCTCCCCTGTTCTGCCCAGTACAGCTGGATACCTGGAAAATATGAGGGATATTGATGCTGATGTGTGGGTCTGAGCTGTCCTTGACTATGAGTGAGAAGGCCCCTTGACCTTGGGCTGGGCCTTGGCCTAGCAGGCAACAAAATAAGGATCAGGGGCCAGGAGGCCAGGGTCTAGCCAGGCCTCTGGAAACACACCAGACCTGGGCCCTCTGCCTACCAGGCAGTGCCTTCTGAGCAGGTGCTTGCTGTCTTCCTCTGTAGGCCGCGTGGTCAACATCAGCAGCATGCTAGGCCGCATGGCCAATCCAGCCCGCTCCCCGTACTGCATCACCAAGTTCGGCGTGGAGGCTTTCTCTGACTGCCTGCGCTATGAGATGCATCCTCTGGGTGTGAAAGTCTGTGTGGTGGAACCCGGCAACTTCATCGCTGCCACCAGCCTCTACAGCCCTGAGCGCATCCAGGCCATTGCCAATAAGATGTGGGATGAGCTGCCTGAGGTGGTGCGCAAGGACTATGGCAAGAAGTACTTTGATGAGAAGATTGCCACCATGGAGACCTACTGCAACAGTGGCTCCACTGACACGTCCCCTGTCATCAACGCTGTCACCCATGCCCTAACTGCTGCCAAACCCTACACCCGCTACCATCCCATGGACTACTACTGGTGGCTGCGAATGCAGATCATGACCCATTTGCCTGGAGCGATTTCTGACAGGATCTATATACATTGAAGAGTTTCCAGCTGGCCTCTGTTGGGAGCCCTGGTGGGACGGATGCGAAGGGAGGGAGGGATGGAGGGAGGAAGGAGCTTGTAATGAAGTCACCTCTTCATTACCCACTTGTGGATTGTCTACCATCCCAGGAGGACCTCACTACCAGTTTTAGTGCCAACTGGAGGGGGCACCCAGCCTGGGCCTCCTCAGTAGGGTTTTAGAGTGGTGGGCAGGGCCCCTAAACCTCAGGGCAAACATGTTGCATCTATCTTTCTGGAGTTGATTTCATACCAAGATTTTTGGGAACCATCTTTATATTAAAAGCAGATTTATTATAAAATAGAATCCAAATCCTTTGCTTTTTTTAAGCCAAAATCCCCATTCAAAAAATTTATCTCATTTGATCCTTAAGCCAACCTCATGAGTAAGGGAACAGATTTTTTTCTTCTGTACACATAGAATTTGTAGCCCAAATTGGATACATGAATAATCCTTTTATTGCTTATAAATGGTCCAAGTCATGTGTTCCTGTTACTGCTGTAGCGGTGCTTCACATTTTGTGTTCCAGGTGCTCTGGATCCAGCTGAGGCTCCTCTGAGGGCTCTGTGGCCTTGCCCGAGCCGTCCTTACCACGCGCCCGTTGTTTACCTCTCTGCATGTCCTCACTGCTGGTGTGTGTCGCCGTAGTGGGCAATTCAGAACGGTGACATTGTGAAGATTTCCATTTGAGATTTCTCCAGCCTCTTAAGACTTAGGAAAGACTTGTGGAAGTGACTTCCGCTTAAGAGGGTGATTTCTGGTTTGGGTCTGCTTAGTTTTTCTTGGGGTGAAAACTCTGTTAATGGGGCATCCTTGGCAAGAGATGTGGCGCAGAGGCCAAGCACTGTGGCACGTTCTCCTCCAGGGGTGGGTCTGGAGTCTCTGCATGTCTCACGTGGTGCTCACATTCACACACATTCACACACACATTTGTTCTGTAGGGCTCAAGGTGGCTTTCATTGATAGCTTGCCTCCCTGCTGTGGCCTTATTTTTAATTAGGGAGTCACGTCACTGATAGGCAGATTCTGTGTCATCACTTCTAAGGGTTGGGTTTGAAGGCTGCCATCCTTGAAATTTTCCAGGTTGTGGTTGTTTGGACCAAAACAAGTCACGGCCCTCCTCCAGGTGGCTGCAGGCCTAGTGCCAACCCCGCAAAAAGGGCGCTTCCGCCTCTTCTGGGAACGGCCAGGCATGCCGCTAGAGGGCGCACCACCTCCACAGCCTCTGCTCCCCGCTGGATGCTTCCACTCAAGCCTGAGGACTCTCAAGGTTCCTGATCCCCATTGACTCAATGACGCAAGGCCCTTTAGAAACAGCGTTCTTGGGCAGCTGGGACTGATCATGGGGCTCAGGCAGTGCCAAGGAAAAGCAGACCCCACAAGAGCAAATTCATCCTGCCATTTGGGCCTTTGTCTTCAAGCATGGATGCCCTGCCCAGCTCCCTTCTGCAAGGTGAGGCCAAGAGGGCTTGCAGGGATGACAGGCCAGGCAGGTCTGAAATTCTCCAGAGCCCAGAGAGGGACATTTGATGGCCACCATGTTTTTGTAACAGTAAGATCCTTTTGTCTCACAGAGCTTGCTTTTCAGAATTGCATTTTTAGATCCTTTTTTCTCATGCTTAATTTTATTAAAGGAAAGTGAATGTAACTTGTTACACAAACGCATGGAGAACTGGGAATTAGCAGGAAGCAGAGATGGTCACACACTCTGAACCAGGATCAGCAGTAAACTGAACACTGGAGAAGCTGCCTCCAAGTCTGCTGGGGTCTCTGCGAGAAGGAGAGAACTGCTAGGCTGGCCTGCAGGCTGCCCCAATTTTCAATTTTTATCCCTGTGACTGAAAAGCCCAGAGAACCTCCCTCCACCCTTCCCCAGATAATCTCAATGCTTAATCTTCCATTAAAACCTCACATTTACCATTCACTTCCTGGTAGCTTAGTGCCTACTGAGGTACAGAGTCTAGTTTTGATCCTTACAAGAGCCGGCTGAAGTAAGTAGAATAGAGCTGGTTGTTCCCAAGAGGGGAAGTGGATCCTCTAGCACCACGGTGGATTGGGGCAGGCCCAGTACCAGCACGAAAGTGATGACCATCTAGCCTGAGAAGCATGGGGAGCACTGAGCTTAACTTTATCCTAACCCACAGTTCTGCAGAGAGCAGCACGGAAGGGAGGCTGAGCCTTTCCTGTATCTCACTGCAAGTGTGCCCATTGTGCCTGTGGGATCTGCCAGTGGCCTGGGCACTATGGAGGGCTTGAGGTGGAGAAAGCAGGGCCAGGAAGTATTCCCAGGGCTGTGGCTGAGGACCACCCTGGCCTTAGCATTGATGGACATGTATCAGAGCAGAGTGTAAATGGGGACCAACCTTAGGGGATGCTGAGGCCCCAAAACACCTTGCGTTGTTCTCTCACTGAGACCTAATTACTCCATAAAATGTGAGGCTGCTTCCACTCATCAAATTATAAATGAGCTTAATTACAGCTCCCTGAATAACCACACTGGTCTCCTTCAGAAATAGCAGTGGGGCTAGCTGCTCTTCTCAACCTCAGCTGCAGTCACCTCCACTCCCATCCGCGCCTCATCCCCATTTCAAGAGGAAAACCTGGGGTGTCAGTACTGCTAAATTGTGCTCTCAGACAACACAAGCTGACTTGACAGACTACACTGGGCGCTCTCTCTCTGGCTATTCGCTGGCTGGGACCACTCCCAGCCAGTGAGCTTCTGCTGGGCCACTGGCTCTGAGTTCTGTTACTGCTTGTTTACTCTCTCTCATGCCTACATATAATGTGTTCTGCCCAAAGATTTTGACTCAGTGTTTGACCAAAGGTGTACAAAGTGGTGCAGGACCTGTCATAAGGAACAAAGAAAGAGCATGGTACTGAATGGAAAACACATGCTTTAGGGAGACCCAAGGGCACCTTGAAGGAAACAGGATAAAGAGCAGCAGACCACTAGGATCTGATGAAAGTTCTGTGATGTTATGAAGGGCAACATAAAATTCCCTGGGGGCTGGCAGGATCAACAGACTTGTTTCAATGGAACAAACTGGCGGCAGGCACGGTGTGATTTCAGGGGGCTGTGATGGGAATGGAGGAGCAACTACTGACGATAATCCAAGTGCCCTTAGTGTTCCCATATTCAAACTTCAACCCTATGCTTAGTAGCATCTGTTTCCACTCCTCTGTTCCCTTTATTATTTGATTTTATTCTTTGTGCTAGGCCCTGTCCTGAGTAGGAGCGTCCAATGGTGTGCAGCCCACTGCCCTCCCAGAACTAAGGAGGCCAGAAACTTTAACCCAGGGTGACAAGTGTCATGATTTTGGGGAGGAAGTGAAGTGCTTTGTTCTACCAGAAGCAAATAAAAGTACCGATATTTTCAACCTACACACAATTTAGTCTTCTTCACTGCCCAGGCTTGGAGCGCTAGGTCAGTGGCATACCAAGGTCTGTCTGAAAAAAGTCAAGCCATTGTTAACATAACGAGAATGGTTTGCATGACATCATGTAACCTGGCAGCCAAGGTGAGTAGACTGGAATGCACATGTGTGAACTATGATGACTTCACTGTACTAGTCAGTGGGGGCCTCAGGTGCATTGTGTGAGCATGTGTACTGTGTGGCTGTTGCATTCAAAATGACTGAGCAAGTAGAGCAGCAACGAATCTGCATTAAGCTAGAACATTCAGAAACTATTTGGGACTCAGGGAAGATGGCGGAGGAGTGAATGGGAGTCACGCTGACCTCCGAAGACCAAACTGGAATTGCGACTAAATAGTGGAGTAATCACCTGGAAAACAATGGAACGATAGAGGGAGAGGAGCCTTGGTGCCGCGGACAGTGGATTCGACTCTCACATCCCAACGGGTGAGAAGTGTGGTGCAGGCTCAAGAGGGTGGGCTGGGTGCCCACGGGCACTAGCACCAGAGGGACATTGAAACGGCCAGTTAGCTCCCCCCAGGAAGAACGGGGTCTGAATCATAAACAGGGACCCCTAAACTACAGCAGCTAAAACCAAGAAAATACAGACAAAACGCAACCCCGAAAAGCTTACGGGTGCTCTCTGCCAGAGACAGGTGGCTGGGGATGCAAAGAGACATTTAAAGGGCCAACGCAAAAATTGCAGTGGCAGCCACCCTCCTTGATGTCTGGGTAGAGGCGGCAGCAGAGTGGGCTGGTGCCTGGAAAAAGACTGGTGAGGAAAACTTTGTGACGAGAACTGACATGGCGGCCGGTGGAGCCCAGGTGATAACGCACCTCCCACTCTGCAGCTACCATCTCGCTCAGGCATAAGGGAATCAATTAACCTGCCTTTTGGGCGCTCTGCACCCAGCTAGTACGCGTGTGAGCTGCGGGGCTGAGTGCAGACTGGGTGGGAGGGCCCCGAGGAGAGACTGGAGATGGAGGCGTTGGGGAAAGAACAGGAAGAGGAACCCGGAAGTCCCGACTCCCTCCCCGTTCTTTAGTCTCCATTGTGGGCTGGAAAGGCACGACCCCAAAGAGGCAGAAGCGGGGCGCGCAGGAACCAGACTGCCTGCGATTGAAACGCAGCCCGCACAGGGGGTGGATCCTTGGCCGAAGAGGTCACAGACCTGCCCGGAGGCCCCTGAGGAGAGTCTGGAAATGGAGGCATTTGGGAAAGAATGGGAGGGGGAACCAGGGAGTCCTGACTCCTTCTCCTTGTCGTAGTCTCCATTGCGGGGGAAGAGGCCACACCCCCAAAGAGCCAAAAGCCGAAAAGCACACACAGACACCCCAAAACCACCCAGTGCAGGTGCGCACACTTGCGCTGAGTGACCGGCAAGGGTTGGTGAGTGTGTGTGTGACCCACGCGGGCTGGTGAACGCTTGCACCGGCCCGCAAGGCATCCCACTGATTGGCACCAATACGGCCTGCGAGGGAGTGCACAGAGCGGCAAGGGCAGGTGTAAATTGACCAGCCTGCCCGCGATTGCAGAGCGGCCCACAAAAATTAGTAGAGCTGCCCAGAGTCCCTGGAGGAAAGACCAGAGACAGGTATACCCGGAGAGTCCTGGAGCTGACTTCCTCCCATTTCCGTAGTCCCCATTTGGCAAGGGCAAGCAATGCACCCAAAGAGCCAAAAGCGGGGAAAACACGCAATAGATGACCCTAAACTGACCAGTGCCGGGGAGCTCGCCAGCCAGGGGGGCCAGATGAGTATGCGAGGTCGCGAATAACCCCACTGGGCTGGGGCAAGCACATGATAGCCCAGGCAGGTGGGGGATCCTGCCACGCCGGGAGCACGTTCAAGGAGCCAGCGTGAGAGTGCAGAGAGATCCCCAAAAATAGCCC